CAAAGCTGCCTTCCCAGGCCAATTATCCCTGCCACTCAGCTGAGAAGGCTAGAAACTGAACAGACATAGAGGGCGCGTGGACGAGAGGTGGAAGGAGAATTTCCAGACTGAGGGAACAGCATGCGCCCAGGCCGCAGGCAGAAAGAGAGCTTCCACACAGTGAAAGCAGCTCAGAGTGGCTGTGCAGCAAGCAGCAAGTGCAGGGGACCAGAGCAGGTGATGGGCACACTTGCTCTGAGTTTGCATTTCAGAAGCCCTGACCCCTCAGAAAGGCCCTCCCCAGAGAGGCGGTTAGGTGCCCTTTTGGTGTCCTACCGTGTGCTCAGCAGTTCTTCATCCCCACTGATGACAACACGTCTGCTCCTGCCCTCCTTATTCTCCCAGCCCCCACCCCACCCCTGGCCCGAAGCTCCTGGAGGTCAGGGACCACAACTGTCTGGAATCCATACAGCCACCTAATTGTTACTTTAAAGACCTTTCAAAGCCTCGGGGTCACTGTGGACTCCCCTGTCTCCCGGACTAGTGGTGCCCAGGTGGACCCCTCAAGGGACCCCCCAAGAGCTGACAGAAGCAGGTCCCTGCCTCTTCCTGCCCCTCAGGGAGGATGGACCCTAGGCCCCGCCATGAAGTTTGAAGCTGGAGCACAACTAAGGGTCCAGAAGTTTGCTCTAAAACCCAGAAGTACAGGCACAGTTAAACAAGTGGTTTCCATGGTCAAGTTCTCTGAGAATCACGTGGGAGGGGCAAGGCGCAGGCCTGGAGGAGGAAGACGGGTGGCAGAGTAGCCTGTGGGGTGGCTCCAAGGCCAGAGAGACAAGAGGCTGAAATGGAGGGATCAAGTTGAGGTTCGTGGTTTTGGGTGAGGGAAATAGGAATGTTGGAGCGGCACTGTGGACTTGGTTGGAGGGCTCCATTTAGCTGTAATGTGCTGAGTCCTACACAAGGTGGCAGGATGAGGCCAGGTTTGTGGCCTGGCTGACCCTGCAGGAGACCTAAGCTCCCAGCAGGGGGCACAGCAGACTACACCAGGGCACAGGCGCTGCTGTGTGTCACAAATCCACCTGAGAGAGCACCTGGATTTCCAGCTCCTGAAAGTAGCCTCTGGGTGGGGGGACCCAGTGAGAGGCTCCAGACCACGTGTGGGACACCCATGCTGGTGGTGAGCAGGCTGGGAAGGGAGCACAGGGCTGCAGGCACCAGTCCTGGACCCCAGCTCCACCTCAGAGCTGGTCAGACGGAGGCTTGAGGGGATGAGGCAGTTGGGCCTGAGATATCTGTGAAAACCTCTGAGCATCTGGGGACAGCCGTGGGGTTCCAGGGGGTGGCAGATCAGGGAAACTTGCCCTTTCTCTTCCAGGACACGAATTTCCCAGCCTCCCTTCAGACCAGTGGGGGCCACGTGACGGGGTCCCAGACAGTGGGATGTGGCTCTCAGGAATTCCACGTCTAGACCAGGAGTCAACATCCCACACTCTGTCTCTGGCTGCCTTCTTCCCCTCCAGCAGAGCAGCTGGGCGCCAGGCAGATGGAGGGCATCACTGGCCTCAGCCCTTCTCACCTGGAGTCAGCCCACACTCCTCTCCAAGTTCCCCTGCCACAGGGCTCCTCAGCTCCTCTCACTGAAGACGCAGGTCCCTTTCCTCTTGCCAAGCCTGGGATGTTAGCAGGTGTGAGACCTGCAAAGGCTTCAGGAAGCATTTGCTTGTTTGCTTTACTTTGGCTCATCTGCAATCACCCTGGAACCGTGCCCGAATGGCCCTGCTGGAACAGGAGAGAGCCCGCTCACTGTCCTTCAGTCAACACCATGCCACACGAACCAGCCACCACACCCAAGGTGAACAAGGCCAAACCTAAAGAGCTGCCCGGCCAAGCACAGGCTACACAGCTGACCCACACGCTGACAAACCGAGTAAATGTTTATTATGCTTTTGTGATTGACTTTATGCAATGTTTGTGTCACTAGATAAATGCAACAGTGATGACCCAAAAAGACAGAAAGGAGCAGAACCACTCCCCACCCGCCCCCCAGGGGCTTCGATGTTTACAAACAAAAGCTTTTACTGTTACAGTGAGAACTCAGTTAGCTTGTTACTGCTGCAGAGCCCATCCTGTCCTGACAGATGCACCAGGATGCAGATGACAGCTCCCCTTTGTGCTATGGTGCCTGAGAGACCTGAGCAGAAGGGACCTGATAAGTAAAATGAAATATAGAAATAGCGAGTAGCCTGCCACACATGGATTGGAAGTGCTGGCCCGTCTTCCGGAAGCCCATGCTCTGGTAGAGGGCTATGGCCGAGTACTGCAGCATGGTGGTGCTGAGCACAACCTCACTGTAGCCCTGGTCCCGAGCAAACTGGAGGAGAGTCCTCACCAGGGCTTTTGCTATCCCCTGGCCCCGGTGCTCCAAGGACACACTTAAGTGAAACAGCTCCAGCTGCTTCTTCTGCAGGGTGGGCTTCTCCACAGGCAGAGCTCCCACTGTGCCCACCACCTGCCCCTCAGACTCAGCTACCCAGAAGCAGGAGCCAGGCCCACTGAGGTAGGTTTTGGTGATGTCAGACATGTCTGTGTGCAAAGCGTGGGCTACATACTCAGTCCAGGGGTATTTGGCAAGGAACCTCACAGCAGCAAGGAGGGTGAGGCCAGACAGCAGGGCCAGGACCCAGGACCCAGAGACCAGGAATAGGGCGAGGGGCACCCCAAGCAAGAACACAAGTGTTTGAGGCAGCTTCAGGATGTGGCGGAAAGCGGTGGGGGAGTGCTCGACTATGCCCTGGGAGAACAAGTCCAGGACACGTTGGCGGTCGCTCTCCTGATATTTGCGGATGCGGTAAGGAGCCATGGAGACTTGGGTGTCTGAATCTCAAAGTCCACCAGAGAGAGGTAGGCGCCCTGCACCCCTTCCAGGCAGCCCTGGGGAAGAGAGAGGAAGCCGTGTGAGAACCCCTTCTCTTCCACCTCCCAGGAACCAGAGACCCTGCTCACGGGCTTGTCTTTGTGCTTCTGCCTGGCAGGAAGTCGCCACAGCCATGGGAGAGGGGGCAGGGTCAGAAAGACCTGCATGTGATGTGGCTCCATTCCTCTCTTGCTGTGTGACCTTGAGCATGTCACTTAACCCCACTAAGCCTCTGTTTTTAGGTCTGCACCACAGTGTAAAATCAAAACCTGCCTTCTGAGATTGTTTTGAGAATTTGACTGAACAACATATACAAAGCTCTGGTATAAAAAAGTACCTTCCACCTCCACCCTCTGTCCTTTTCTCTCATCTCTTCTCAGCTTCTTGGTGTATCGGGGGTGACACTGTGCAGCAGCCAGGGAGGGCATGTGTCCCCTACCCTTTGGTCCCTCTGCCAGGGTCCACACACTGCAGGAACCCTGTGTTCCCAGGCGTAGGTTTCAGCACAGGCTCCTTCCCCCTTGACTGCAACGTTTTAGGCTGCTGAGGTGGCATAAGAGCCAAACACCAAAACCAGCTCTGCCCTGAGAGCCAGGAGGGCCTGGGGCTGCAGGCCACACCCCAAGCACTGTCCCTCCACCCATGTCCTCTCACCTGTCACCCCCAAATTCTCCAATGTCCAGCGTGGCCTCCTCCCTCAGCACTGACTGGCATTCAGGAAGACTGTGCAGGACCAGCACTGCCTCTGGGAAACAGGCCCTGGAGGCCACCTCACTGGGTGCGTCCTGATTTGTTAATCATGAACCCCAGTGTCAAGGAGCTGAGCCAGGACAGGGCAAAGAGCCTGTTCTCCGTTCACCTCTGTGATTACTAGTAATTAGTTTGGTGGAGACTAATGGTGGAGAAGGTGCTGTTAGCAGGTTCTGTAATAGCCTAAAAAGAAGGCACAGGGCTTATGAGCAGTCCCTATAATTTTCAGTGTGTTGGGGGTAGTTAATAGGGTCTAAAGACGCTTCACCTGCAGCAACTCAATTCAAGACTGGGTTGATGCGGAGCAACAATGTTCACCAGGCTAACAGAGCACATTTCCCCCACCGTGTTCCAGAGCACAGGGGAAGACAGCCAACTGTTTGCTTTAATATGTAATCCTTGACTAAGGAGCCAAATCCCCGTGGTCTACCAACCTGCATCCCTTCCCTCCCAGCACCAAATGCTCTCTAGGAACAGTTTGCTTTTGCCCGTGAAGCATTTGGACTCTGGAGCTACCAGGTTAATTAATATAAAGGAAACTGCTCCTAATTTGGCTAAAAACGACTTTCTCTAAAAGACTTGTGGAGCTTATGTAAACTTCTTCCCCCAGGAAATGGCAATGCTTTGATTTGTTTTCTTCTTGTTAGAAGGAGCTGAAAACACCGTCTATCGTTACAGAAACGAGACCTGTAAAACCGCTGTTCATACCATGCAAACCAATAAACATATGAGTTCAAGTTCATCAGTTGTCCGACATGTCGCAATGGCAAAATGCTTAAAAGTTAAAAGGCCTGGCAGGGATTTGCAAGCTTGCACTCTGCTACTGGGTATGCAAAATGGCGCAACTTTCTGGTATTAAAAGCCTTTAAGGAGTGCACATCCTCTTTCCCAATAATTCCGCTTGGGGAAGCTATCCTAAAGAAAGAGCAACATCTACCAAGATTTACTTGTTAGGGGCAAAAATAAAGGCAACACAAATGTGTAACAGAATTGCGCATGCGGTGGGTTACACAGCAATGAAACGAACACGCACAGTCCGCGCTCACTCAAGCTCCCGGAGCGGTGGCGGCCTCTCCGGCTCTACTTGCTCCTCCTCCTGCTGAGCCACTGTCCTCCTAGCACTGGGTCGTCATCTCGGTCCGGTCCGCAGCAGGAGCCGCAGGAGCCTCTAGTCCCGGGCTGCCGCCTCGCACGCCAGGGCTTTTCCCCTTGCAGTCACTTCGGGGGCCCTCCCGCCGGTGCCCCCCCCCACCCCCGCCTGCCGGTGCCCCCGCTTTCTCCCGGATTGCGGATCCCCGGGCACTGCCCCCACCCTCTTCCTCCCTCACCTCCAAGAGGACAGTCTATGTCTTACCCCTCAGACTGGCGCCCTGGCACCTCTGCCCAACAGCAGCCTTGCCCCGGCGCGGGACACCTCTCGGGCCTCCCCAAAGAAGTGGCAAAAGAAGAAAGTGCGGTTTGTCAGCACCTGCAGCAACGGGCGGGGCTCAACCAGCGGAGCGGAGCACAGCGCTGGAAGTCGGGAACTGGGCCAAAGCCTAGGCCTCAGGTCCTGCCAACTCACCCAAGGACGCGAGTCTTTTTCCTGGTCTGCTGCCTCCTGTGGCGCCTGGCCAGCCCTTGCTTAGAAAAGAGGAAAATCAGAGAAAATGATATTCCCCAGGGGCAACTTGTTCCTAACGTGCACTTGTATGAACAACCAAAGATAAACAGACAAAAAGCAGATGTAACTTACCACTAACCAAGACCACTGCTACAAAAAGAAATGAAAATAACTTTTGTCAGAATTCTGTTTTGTCTGACAGAATTCAGAAGCAGGATGGGAAAAAACCTTTTAAAAATATTTAGAACATTTTTTTAAAAAGCATTTGAAGAAATTGGCATTTCTAACTGGAGTGAACCAAAAGGAAAATTACGCTGGGGCAGTTTAGTGATGCATGTCCTCCTGGTGTTCTTTCAAAGCCATCCAGTCACTGGATGGGGAGCAGTATTGAAAATACCAACCCAAATAGGGAATTGATAGCAAGACATTTAAAAACTTGCCTAGAAGTTCAAACTTAGATCTTGGATTTCAGTATGTATGTAAAACATATTTTCCCCCAAACTTCTGGACTCTTGAATGTTAGTCAGAAATGGAAATTTTATTGTTGCAAACTACAAGTGCAAACTAAAGATGAGTTTAAAAAATTACAGCTCGTATTACATTTTGTAAATAATATATACCATGTACTGTGTGTATATTGTTCACATTTGAGAGGTACATTATAGTTTGATTATGAAGTACATACTTTGCCTTGCCCAAATGGTAGGTGTTTTGTATATACACAATGCAGATATTTTAAGTGTGTGCCAAGGCATGTGGAAGACCAATTTATTTGCACAGAGTACCGAGAAAGTTTTTAAGAAATAGCTGTCGAATCTCAAGATGAAGACCCTAAATGTGAACAGTTTACTGATGCACTACTGACATTCCAATGTGTAGCAGAATCATTCTAAGGATGGGGTTTGTCTGTTTCTCTAAATTGCTTTCTGCCTTCACATCTGCAATTACTGGAACACTTCTCATGTTTTTACCAAATGTCGTTTCTGGTTTTTTATTTATATCCATATTCAAACCTAAAATACCTCTAAGCTTAATGCCAACAAAATCTGTTGTAATCTAATTTTTAAATAATAATAATTTAGCCCTCTTCCCCCCCTATAAAAATAAATAAAATGAACATGTTTGAGAGTGATAGCATGGGATGAAGTGGTGTAAAGTCATTGATAGGGGACTTAAGAGCTAGAAAATTTTAGTTTAAGGTAAATAGTTATAAGCCTAGTAGGTATTGTGTATGTTAAAGCTTTTGTTTCAGAACCAACAGATAAGGCCCACCCTGGCTCCTGGGAAAATAGCTGACCTCCTGGGGCACTGCTAAAGATTACCGCCTGGGGACAAGTGGAGGCATCCGGGCCTTTGTGTTCCAGGGAGAGATAGATGACCACCCTTCCCTGGGAACAGTTAACTGCCCAGGACAGGAACGTTGCAGTTTCTTCTACCTAATCCTCCCTGAATTTCAAAACCCCTTACCACATATTGTTTATTCCCTGCTATATAAACATTCGCCTGGAAAGAAAAGACAAGACAGTTCTTTTGGGTGCAAACTGGCCCTCTTCTCAGATCACAGGCCATCTGAATAAAGTGTGACAGGCAGCCTGAATGCTGGTGTCTTTTCCAGTTACATATTCTAAATTGCTTTCTGCTTTCAGATCTGTAATTACTGGAACACTTCTCATGTCTACCAAATGTCGTTTCTGGTTTTTGGTTTATATCCATATTCACACTTAAAATATCTCTAAGTTTAATGCCAACAAAATCTGTTGTAATCAAATTTTTACATAATAATTTGGCCCTCTCCCCCCCTTTAAAAAATAAATAAAATGAGCATGTTTGAAAGAGATGGCATGGGATGAAGTCATGCGATGAAGTCACCAGGAGCACAGCCTACGAGGCCTTGCAGATCTGAGAGTTAACCCTGACCCCAGCATTGTGAGCTCTGAGGGGAGCTTCAGCTCTTTGAGCTTCAGGGGAAAGCTGCCTTTATAATGGAGAGGTTTGGGGGTACCATCTGGATCAAGTGATAGATTTCATTTCTCCAGTGTGGGGGACAACTCACATGTGCCTCTCGATGACGTGCAACAGGAAGGACCCAAAATCCATCTACCTACCATTATTCCAAAAATATTTGAATTGACTCAAATTATGAACAATTCCAGGTTGTGGAATTCTGAAAGACATCTACAGTACTCTAAAAAAATGTCAACATATTTTTAAAAAGGATTGTTCTAGATTAAAGGAGACCAAGAGCCATGGCAATTAAATACAATGTAGGGAGAGTACCCTAAGGTCTGCAACTTCCTTTCAGATTGTTCAGAAGAAAAGCAGGTGTTGTGTTTGTGTGACACGCAGACAGGTACTTGACACATACCAAATGCAGCAAATATTGACAGATGGTGAATTCACATGAAAGACACATGGATATTCATTGTAATATTTGCAATTGTCTTGTATGCTTGAAATTTTTTGAAGTAGAGTTGAGAGACCAAGTCTGGTTCCTCACTGGTACATCTCTTGGGGTTGTAATGAGGACTAACTGAGGGAGTGCTTATAAAGTACTTAGCATGGTACATGCAGGAAACATTAGGGGAAGATGGTGGTGAGGTAGGTGGGAGGAGAGCCCACTTCCCCCTGCGCTCAGCTGGAACACCTAGCAGATCTTCTGAGGAACAGAGTGTACAGCCAATGAAATCCCAGCTTATATGAAGTGTGGAGGCCAAAATTTTAGAGGACATTGAAAAACAGACAGTAAGGAGATTGTGTGGGGACAGTAAGATCCCTGGGACCAGCACGGGGACCAGAGCTGCTGCAGCCCCCAGCCCAGTGCCTGCCACAAGATCTTTGGAAGAGAGCCAGATCAGCAGCTCCCTCCCCTACTGAGGCAGGGAGCACAGAGCACAGAGCAGCAGCAGAATAGACCTGGATGCTTGAGGTCGCTGGGGGGAAAAAGACAAAGTGGGAGATGCACAGGGGTGGTGTTCACCTGCTTGGACTGTGGACTCCACCAGAGCAATTGGGGAGCTGGGCGACACCTGAAGAGAGGAGTTGGGTCGTGTTGGACCCTGACCCAGATAGTCTCTGGTCTGGTTAGAAAGTTGGGCTGTATGAAAAGCCAGGCGCTTATTAAGAATGGTGGGCTTAAACAAGAGGATTTTATTCAAAAAAAGGTTCTCAGTTGCTGCTTTAGGAACTCTTGTGCAGTGGTTGGCTGGCTGGCTGAGGAGGGCAGCAGGGCTCAGGGAGTTGGCAATCCACAAAAAGACTTAACTCAGCGGGGGCACTGAACTACCCTGAAGAGACTTTGAGAGTGCCTAGCACCTAGGCCAGCAAACAGGGAGAAGGTGGTGTGTGAGTTTTCCCTAATTAGTGCACATCACAGGCGGCTTAACTGGGGGGTTAAAGGCATTGGCCTGGCACAGATGGACAGTGGGGGCCTGGCAATGAACAGAGGACCCAGGCTGGAGGCTGGGCAACTGTGAATATTGCCACCCAGACCTGGTCCCCATCCTTGCAACATATCCTTGAGGAAGGGAGAAAAGCGAAGCCCAGTCCCCCTCAGTCTGCAGCATCCAGGAAGACTGGCAGAACTCCCTTGGTAGGCTTAAAGTCTGCAGGCTTTTTTTTCTTCTCCCCACCCGCCCCGCTTTACTTCCCAAGCGAGACAATAACACCCAGAGCTGTGAAAGGTCTAGAGACAGATCCAAAAGGGAGCACAAGGCTAACCGCAACATCAGAGAAACTGAGACAAATTTCATTTTGCTACCCTATAGAACTTGCATATTATTATTTGTGTTATTTTTTTACTTTTTATTTCATTAATATTTTTTCTCTCCTTTCTGTTTAGTTTTATTTGTTTAATTGCATTGTTTGACTAGTTTTCCTGGTTCTTTCATATTGTATTTTAATTTTCCTTCTTTCACGTCACTTGAGTTCCAACAGCATACTACTCTAGGTCGAGTACTTCCTATTCTTGCTATTCAGATCATATAGATTCTGTCATATTATTGTTGTTCCAGTACTATTGTAAGTAATTACTGTACCATATTATTGTAAATACTACACAGCACCCCTCCTGGATCCTAGCCCATTTCGCTATATTCCTGAGCTTTATTATTGTTATGGTTAACTCTATTCTCTCACACACTATGCCTACTTTCTATCCTTTATTCTCACTATAGCTCATCATCTGACCTTGCACAAGTTCTCTGTTTTCTGGAGTCAGCTCAAAATCCTTCTCCCCTCTAGCAAGAATTTTATCTCTTTATCACCTTTTATGGAAGTGGTTAGTTGGGTAAAATATCACAGTTAATGCTATTCTAATCCAAAGGATCCCCTATCTCTTTTCTATTTGTTGGTACTTTAAATCCCACAGAATACTCTCCCGCTGTCTTAATCCATTTTGCCTACCCCCTGCCACTGATCACATGCAAGAGTAGATGAGAGATGTGAACACCAATATACCTGCTGGAGGAGCTATACAACAAAGGAACCACCAACAAGTAAAAACCCAAGTACAACAAGAGAGCCCACACAAACAGAAGAAAGGGTAGCCCCAGAGCATCCAGACAAGGAGATCAAAGAGACCACATCATCGAATCCCACAGAATCCTACCAGAGAAGTCCACCTACAAAGACAGCTAGCAAAGCAGAACATCAGGAAGCGCAGAAACAAACAAAAAGAGTCACCTAAAATGGGGAGACAAAAAAAGAACCTGTAATCAAAAGAAATGGAAGACTCCCCACTAAAAGAGCTAAATGAAATGGAGGTAAGCAAACCATCAGATATAGAATTCAAAATAATGGTTATAAGAATGCTCAAGGAACTCACAAAGATAAGGAACTGAGTGACAACTACAACAGTATGAAAAAGGAAATAGAAACTATAAACAAACAAAAAAAAAGAAATGAAAAAGAAAATTTCTAAAATTAAAAACACACCAGAATGAATTACAAGCAGACTGGATGAAGCAGA